TTCGATCACAAAGCTGTCAGAGATTGGGACACGTTGATGGTTGTGCTTGGCAATTCCACGTTTGTACATCAAATCACAAACTGATTTAATATTTGGATAACCCCATATAGGGTTCGGCATACGTAGCATATTAATGGTTGCCTTGTTCAATTTAATGAACAAACCGTGGTTAATGTGGCGAAAACGGAACAACAGTAAAACTTTACGCACTTTTGGTGCAACTTTGTTCATACCGCGGATACGGATCCCAAAAGCCAATTTGGCCCGTAGAATTGGCCGCGTTTCTTTGACACACAGCGCAACTCCATCTCACGGCGTCCATCACGGAGTTTTCTTGTTTGATATTTCTCAGCATGCACCAAGTTTTCACGTTTACGGAGTGNAGAGCGCTTTAGTTTACGTTTGATCAGGGTAACAATTTGCTGACCTGCTCTTGCTGAACTTCAGCTTCGACTCGGGAAGAGGAGGCAGTTTCCTGGAAGGTTGTCTGCCCTTTGCTTGCGGTTTCTTACCGGCCGTGATGGCAGTTATCTTAACTTGTTACTTAGCTCGTTGAAAAGGCGAAAAAAAAGTTCGCCAAATGTTTGGAGCACATCGTAAATGAGCCAATCGATTTATAACATTTCTATAAACAATTAAACTAAATACTTTTTAATACATAGATATGCTGCAACCAGGCACTTACTTTCACAAATTCCATCCTTCTTATCGGCATAACTTTCCAAATATGCCTGCTACTTCATTACTAATAACTCCATTTTCCAACTGCGTCTTCTTTGTTGGCTCAACATATCCTAAAAAGACATAAATAAATTTATATTAAACAATAGAATTCGCAAAAAAATTAGCAAATATAATACTCGCTTTGTTTTGTTTTGTTGTCAAATTTCTGAGAAATGTGAATTCACCACGATGCGATACAGAAAGAACAAGGACCAGGGATGTTCATTCCCACGACAGCCGGTTCTACGTACCGGAATGACTAGGGTTTTACCCGACCAAGGGCTGTTGTTTCGGCGATCTAACCCCGTTTAGGTCGGCGAAGTATCTCAGAAGTTGTTCGTCCATAGGGCTACATTCGCTACGTTTTCTCCTACTCAGGGCTGGCATCGAGTCAAACTCAGGGCCAGAAAGCTACACCTGCTGTGTATGCCAGAGACGACTACACCACCACTCCACCTCTGTCAAGTGCAATGCTTGCGAGGGGTGGTGTCACCTCGGAGTCTGCTCTGGACTACGGACACATCGGCAGTGGACCACGTCGTATGTGGCCCCCT